AGCCTTTCCTCTTCTATGAGGTCTTCGACGTCGAGATCGTCGTAAAGGAAGGCATCGATTGCTATCGTATTGATTGCATTGCAGTTTGAGTTCTAATTCAAACACATTATCTGTTATTACTTTATTCACAATCTTTTCATTCAATCATAAATGCAATAATAGTTACAAATAATAGCAAAACACATATAAAACACTTTAAACACAATAAATGTTCACTTTATTAACACTTCAAATGGCAGTACATTTCAGACAACAGTTTTAATTAACTGAATATAAAAATATAGTCAAAATACCTGTCCTTCTGCTGGAAATGTGATCATTTCTGAAGACATGAGTCCATAGTTGGGAACCATTAGTTTGATATCATTAGAGATACGGTTCAGTGTTTGATAAGCGATGGCTGGCTTTTCGCCCGAACAGTCTGTTCAATGGTTTTTCTCATACATTAAATCAATGAAACAGTGATTGAGATAATAATGTGATCCAAACCTGAGACCAAATATTTAGTTTGAATCCATTGGAAAAAGTGTGGCAAATCTTGAGACGATATCTTTGACACCAACTCTTGGAAACAGTTTTGACTTTCAGTTAAATCCATGGATTAAATGACTGATTGACCACAAAATGTGTTCAAAAATGATTTGTTTTCAATAATAATAATAAACTTTTAAATTGAACTCTCATTTGAGACAATGTTTACAACAAATGCAATGCAAAACATGTGAGACTTGAAAGCGTTTGTTATGACATCTCTTATGATAGGAATTCAATGTTATATTAATAGACAATATTCTGTGTGATATTTGGATACTTTTTTTTGCTTTTAATGATCGACTTTGAAATAAATTTACATTAATTTACATGTTAAACATTAATAATTAATAAATTGTTACAATTAAAATATATACTAAAAAATTATCAATAGTTTGTATACATATATAAGAATTAGGAATTTTATAAGTTTAAATATTTAAATATTTAATCTCTAAATCTTTAAATATCTTTTAAATTAAATAATTTTAACCAAAAAATAAATAAAAGTTTTAAGAAATAATTCAATAAAGAAATCACACGTTTTAGAGAAGTAACATTTATATAATACTTAACTTTCGATTCCAATAGAAATATAGGTTTTTTCATTTATTAAGAATACAGTAATATTTGGCGTTAGGCAAACTACTAACCTGGGTTACTCCAGGAAGTCCTTGAATTAATACAGATGGTTAATATACATCGTTTAAAACACAAATATGCTTCAATCTCACTTCTACTCTTAAAACTGTTAAA